TCCAGGGAGTCCCCACCCGCCCCCACTCGCGAACCCACGCCCGGGAGCCACGAAAGCCCCACCACCATGGGCGAGCGGCCCTGAGCTACTCACCTGCCCCAACTCCACACTCCGCATCCACCGCGACTTCAAACGCCCCACTTCCTGCCTCCCTCTCCTTCCGGGTTAGGCGGAGGCCACTCGACGACGGACCGCTGCAGGGCCCAAAAGAGCCCGGAACGCGAAGCCCCCGTCCAAGCCAAGCTTTTGAGCTGCTCCTGGGGGAGCCGTTCTTCCCCGCTTGCGGCCGCCTGCCTGCCTGCCTGCCTGCCTTTAGTGGGGCGAGTGCCGAGGACGTGGAAACGTTGCTGTTTGTTTATTTATTTATTTATTTTTACTACAGCAACCAGAATCCTCCCCCGTCACCCTTTCGGTCAAGGCTGCCTGAGATGATTCTTCGTCCGTTCATTGCTCCCGTTTTTGTTGCATTAAAACGAAGACGTTTGCAGCACCCCCTCTTAAAAAAATGTTTCCAAATAAATATGGCACTCTTGCTCCATCAGGCTACTTAAATATTGAGGAATATGAACAAGTGAACAAGTCAAGTGTCAAGATGGCCAGATGTTCATCCATCCATCCATCCATCCATCCATCCATCCATCCATCCATTTAAAATATGTTTACCCTGGCTTTCTCTTTGAAGGGACCCAAGGAGATCCTTTTTAAGGACAGAGTTCAAAAATAAATGCTGAAATTTGCTTTTTTTTAAAAAAAAAAATGACCTGCTGGACAAAGGATTCTGGGATCTGTAATAAAGAAAATAATTAACTTGTCCAGGCTTTAAGTAGAACAAGATGCAACGTGGACTTTCAAAAGGCAGGGCTTCTTCACTCCCAGGAGCCACGCTGTGCAACGAGCAATTCAGCGAGGAATAGAGAGGAGCACAAAGTGCTAGTTCGGCCGTTCAGCAGAGTTCGTTTCCCAAACCGAACAGCTGGTCCATGGTTCCGGGTCCTGCCCCCGTCTCCTCCAGGTGCTGCTGCTGAATGGGCGTCCCCTGGAGGAGGCAGGCACCAAAAACCGCACATCAGCTGTTCAGCCAGGAAATAAATTGCCCCAAACTGCCAAACCAGCGGTTTGGGCCCATCTCTAGATCAGAAAAAAATACAGTATAATAAAAAGTCCTGGGGAAAATTGAACAGAGATTGAAAATGTTACTTTTTTGAACTCTAGCTCCCAGTATCTCCCAGCCAGGAAATGATGATGATGATGATGCCTCCAAGCTCTGGGGAAAATTGAACAGAGATTGAAAATGTTAGTTTTTTGAACTCTAGCTCCCAGAATCTCCCAGCCCCTTGACATTTAGTCCAGCCGTGTCCGACTCGAGGGCGCAGTGCTCATCCCCGTCTCCAAGCCGTAGAGCCAGCGTTTGTCCGTAGACAGTTTCCGTGGTCACGTGGCCAGCGCGACTAGACACAGAATGCCGTTACCTTCTCACTGTGGTGGTACCTATTTATCTATTCACATTTTTTAACATGCTGGGAGCCGGGACAAGCGACAGGAGCTCCCTCAGTCGCGTGGATTCGCTCTTACGACGGCTGGCCTTCTGACGTTGCAGCACAGAGGTTTCTGCTGTTTAACCCGCAGTGAATTTATCCTGGTGTCAGCTTTCTTGGACCACAAGGGCATGAAATAAGGTTTGTAGCCACTGCTGGTTGACAACAGCAGCAGTGAGAGGCGCAGGTCAGCAGGGACACTGGCCCTGTCGTAATCCTTTCCTCTTCCCCATTGGTTGCCCGAGTCTGCTTTCCTCTTCTCTTTTCTTCCTGTTCCGTTCCTTTCCTTCTCCTTCTTCTTTTTCCTTCTGTTAAATGCTTACTAATCCAGTACGAAGGGGGAAAAGAACACAGATTTGGTATAGAGAGACAATCCACATGCAAGATACCTCTACTCTAACTTTGCTTCCTACGGGTCAGAGCTACCTTAACAGGTCAGAAACAAAGCTACACTGAAAATTTCCTCCTCTCTGACCAATCCTTGTTCCCCCACCCCTCACCTCTTTGATCAACCTGGGTGTCTTAACACTAGGACAACAAGCCTTTAAAAGAAAAGAAAGAAAGAAAGAAAGAAAGAAAGAAAGAAAGAAAGAAAGAAAGAAAGAAAGAAAGAAAAGAAAGAAAGAAAGAGAAGGGGGAAGCAAGCAGACCCAGGCACCAGGTATGGAGAGGAGAGGATAAAAACATTTAACAAGCTGCAAACAAGGCTGAGTGCTGTTTTCCCCCCCTGTCTTTGCTGACTCCTGGCTGGCTGGATGAAGCAAACGAGCTCAGGGAAACTTAACTAACTTCCCAGGTGCAATTCAGAGCAGATCCATTTGCACTTCCCCCCACTGTATAGGCATGCCCAGAAGAGCTGGTTTAGGTATCTGGCTGCAGAGCCAGAGTGTGGAAGTTCAGTTCCCCACTGGGCATCCCAAAGAGTCAGCAATAGATAGATAGATAGATAGATAGATAGATAGATAGATAGATAGATAGATAGATAGATAGATAGATAGATAGATAGATAGATAGATAGATAGATAGATAGATAGATAGATAGATAGAGTGGTCTTAATTGACTAGATAGGTGGGATATAAATAAAATAAATAATAATAATAATAGATAGATGGATGGATCGATGGATCGATGAAAACACATTTTCAAAAGAGTGGTCCTCAATGTTTGGAAACATGAAACATACAATCCAGCTTCTCCTCAAAACCTCGTCTGTCCTTATAAAAATATACTATTTATTTATTCTTTTTCTTTTAAAAAAAGAGAGAGAAAGAGCTTCTTTTAAGATTCCTATCCCTCCCAACAATGACCACCCATTTTTGCAGATTATTCCTGCTGGGATGGAATGGGCTTTGCTCCTCGATAGTGCCACTGCAAAGAAAGAAGCAAAGCAAACCGACGAGCACGGTTCTTTCTAGAGCTGCCAGTGACGTGGCTTTCACGGAGGTGCCCTCAAAACAAGGCATCTGGGCCTTGGCGGCTCTCCAGAGGTCCCACCTGCCGGAGCTACACCACAGACCGGCATCTTGCTGGACACAGCCTGGCTCCGCTGTTCAACAGTGGTGGGTTTCTCTGGGACACGTACGGTTGTTCTCTCCTCCAGAAGGAACCCACACGACGAGTGGACGCCATCTGCCTCTCCTTTCTCTCTGCTGCCGGAAGCGTGGGTCTCCCCCTGCCTTGTAGAAGGTCCCATTTTAATGGATTTTAAATGTTTTAACCCCTCCTTTCTCCGTAAAAGGAAGCCGGGTTTCTCTGGGACACGTACGGTTGTTCTTTCCTCCAGAAGGAACCCACACAACGAGCAGACGCCATCCGCCTCTCCTTTCTCTCTGCTGCCAGAAGCGTGGGTCTCCCCCTGCCTTGCAGAAGGTCCCATTTTATCATTAAAAGACAATATTTAAAGCTGAACCCAGTAAGGGTACAAATACAAAAAAGAGCCAAACCAATACCACACTCAAAGACAGTAAACAAAAGCAACACCAAAAACACATTAAAAGCAGTAAGTTACCACAATCCATCTAAAAATCTACCACTCAGGCAGCCAGTCACTGAGGGAAAGCTTGCCTGAAGAGAAAAGTCTTTGACTGCTTGCAGAAGGACAGCAAAGACGGGGCCCGGCTGGCCTCCAGTGGAAGGGAGTTCCCGAGTCTCTGGGAGCAGCCACCGAGAAGGCCCTCCTCACCTGTGTCCAAACCAAACACACCTGTGAGGGTGGCGGGACGAAGAGAAAGTCCTCTCCTGTTCTGGGAGCAGCCACCGAGAAGGCCCTCCTCACCTGTGTCCAAACCAAACACACCTGTGAGGGTGGCAGGACGAAGAGAAAGTCCTCTCCTGTTTCTGTGTTAGTCTTTATTCGTTCTCCTCTTCATTTGTAATCTTTTGCAGTCAGTTTATCTCTATCATTTTATTCAAGGTTGCAGGGACTGACGGATAACAATTGTTAAGTATTTACGTCTCCACCGTATGATCATTTTCAATTGTTTCTTTTCTCTTTTTAAAATTCTGTTTACTGCCATTCATGTGATCTGTCATGAGGTGCTCTGGGCTCCAGCTTGTGGGAAACCAGGATACAAATAAATGGAAAATGAAGGTGGAGGAAAGGAAAATGAATGAACTCAGGAAACCAGAGGGTTGCAGCAGAACCCTGTGTTAATTGTCTGTATCATTGCTAAAACTGTTACTTTTCTTTTAAAAGGAAGGACAAGCCAATTGGTTCATCTAAAAAAATAAGGTTTTAATGGCACTCCTTTACCGTTTGTGGCAGTTTTAAATGTTCCCATCTTTGCAGATGAAAAAGTAACCGAGGATGGGGAGGGGGAAAGGCAGGAGTCATTTGAAGTAGAAATCTATTCCCCAATTAACGAATGTAGAGTTGAAGCCACACTATTGTTGATACAGCATCTATTTTAATATTTAGGGATCATGTTAATCCCATGGTTTTGCTTTGTTTTTGCTTGCTTGCTTCTTTGATTGAAAAAAGAGAACAATCCATGTTGGAAACTCTGTAGACTTTCAGATTACACAGAGTTCTTCAGAGTCATGACTATGGGATATGTTAAAGCTGAAAGGACTTGATTTGCTGATTTCAACACATTTAAGAATTTGCCCAGCAAAGCCTGTCAATTAAATTTTCTGTCTCCCAATCCACTCTCTAAACGCTGGGAGGAGTGAGGAAGCAGACAGGCACCCTTTTCACTGGCCAACAGTTAACTGAAAGTTCACATTTTGCACTTTCCCTGCCTCCCACGTGGGTTTTTTTCAGTTCTTAACTCAAATCTAAGTATGTAAGTCAAGTCAATATTTTCCTATGAGAGCGGTTCTTAAGTCAAAATGTTCTTAACTCAAGCCGTTCTTAAGTCAAGACCCCACTGTATTCCCCATTTAACGAATGTAGAGTTGAAGCTACACTATTGTTAATACAGCATCTATTTTAATATTTAAGGATCATGTTAATCCCACAGTTTTGCTTTGTTTTTGCTTGCTTGCTTCTTTGATTGAAAAAAAGAGAACAATCCATGTTGGAAACTCTGTAGACTTTCAGATTACACAGAGTTCTTCAGAGTCACGACTATGAGATGATATGTTAAAGCTGAAAGGACTTGATTCGCTGATTTCAACGCATTTAAGC